TTTTTTTTTTGCTAAAAATTACTTGTAAAATCTCACATCAATACTTTTTTTGTTAAGATTTTTTTGTTTGATAATATTACTTAATAATAACTTTAGTTTATCTGCGATGAATTCAAAATCAAATAAAATATTTTTTTATGGTATCAAAATTACTCAGCAACACCTAAAAATGTATTCGATCACTTCAAGCTGGACTTGTAGTAAATGCCACGTATGCGGACGACCGGATCGGCTTTTGCAATTGGGTTACTACTGAGCCATCAACCACGATACTAAGACTAACACATTTGAAATCATGACATTATATTTTATGTTTGCAAAACTAATCCTAAAAATCTACAAAAAGTTAATTGCTGTTTGTGTTCGTTTTCTCTGATCTTTTTCCTGACTTTAATGCACTCCCAGGTGACATTTTGCCGGGGATTTCGGTACAAGTTCAGAAAGTTATTCAAGGTTTAGAGGAAACTGAAGATTCACAAGGGGATGCACCCAACTTAAAGTTGGAGCCTGGTACATTGGAGCTATCTCCTAAAACTGAGTTGCAAGATAATATGAACTATAATGAGGTAAGCAAGCGATCTTGACTTTTTATCGGCACATTGAATTTGGTCTTTTTTGCTTTACTCACTATTTAGAACGATGCTACCGTTAAGAAAGAGCGTCCATATAGTTGCGATGAATGCGGCAAGTCGTTTCTCCTGAAACATCATTTAACAACACATGCGCGGGTACATACAGGTAAGGCACTTTTCAAATTATTTATTTTAATATCAAATAATATCTATTGAGTATTTTTTTATCGTGGCTGTGGGAAATTTTTATATTGCAGGCGAGCGGCCGCATGTGTGTGTGCATTGCAGCAAGAGCTTTGCTCATAAGCATTGCCTTAACACGCATCTTCTTTTGCATTCAACTGATCGACCCTTTCAGTGCACCGAATGCAAGAAAAGTTTTACTTTGAAACACCACCTGTTGACACACTCACGTGTTCATAGTCGTGATCGGCCATTTATTTGCCCCGAATGTGGGCGCACGTTCCCCTTGAAGCGGCATTTAGTAACACATAGCAAATTTCACGCTGGTGAACGACCATACGTGTGTGAAGAATGTGGAGAAAGTTTTGCTCAGGAGAATCACTTAATAATGCATTCACGGTTAGTGGAGAAAGGATTAAAAATATTATGTTGCTGTGAATTTTCTGTTACATTGTCTAAATTATTATTTTTTCAGTTTTCATGGATCTTTGAATCCATTCGTATGTCCAGATTGCGGCGCTACTTTTCCACGCAAATTCCAGTTGGTGAACCATGGTCGTATACACGGAAAAGTGCCACACTCCTGCACCTTGTGTGGCAAAGAGTTTTTACAAAAGCGTACGTTGGTATCTCACATGAGGTAATATTCAAATTGTCAAAATCTACGAAAATAATCTTAAGTTTGGGACTTAACAGGGTTCACACTGGCGACCAGCCATATCCATGCATTAGTTGCGGGGAAGGATTTATGTCGAAAGCCGAGCTAAATCAGCACGTACGAAACACACACGGAGGCGTAAATCCAAACTCTTCGAACACTGCGGTAAGGTCACAAACAATTTGCTAGAACTACATGGGTGCCGTGAAAAGGCGATTTGTATATATCTCTGAAATGAAGAGTGAAAATCGTTTCGACGTTCATTGCATTTCATTTATATGTATGTAGGATGCCGAGTATTTTATTTTCATTTACTTTATATTTTATTGAATTCTTTAAATGTAATACATACAGTACAATTTTGGTTTGGCAAACTTATGTTAATCGCGGTGGCAGGCAAACAATCGCGGCGACGGTCGACAATGAATTCAATTTTATGTTCTTTGCCTACAGTTAGGTCATCCATCATTGGCGTGCGTTCGTTAAGTTCGGTCAGTAGGGTTGTCTATATTTAAGGACTAACGTCAGTGTTACCGTCTACTCGGACCCAATCCCACATTCGGACCTCCTGACCGATCATTCGGCTCGAATGATGACACGCTTGGTGGCTCGACTGCCGGCTCCCATTTTTTCATATATTCGGCGACTGTTGTAGTATTTCCGGGACCTTCATGGTCACCCACCTTCCGCACCTCGTATCTGTCGTGGCCCAAGACCTTCGTAATTTTGTAGGGGCCCAAAAACTTCGGCTTCAGCTTAAGACCAACACCTTATTGTGTCCGCTTAATGGCTACTAGCTCGTTGATCTGGTACTTCACCGCTTTCTTGTTAAAAGATCGACGATTCTCCTGCTGGATCTTGTTGATGCTTTCCTGTGCTTCCTTTCGCAACTCTTCCCGCTCAGTGTCCAACTCCTCGATGGCGGCGTCCTCTATGAGCTGTCGCAATTCAGGGATGACGTTAACTCGCATTTCGAATCCCGTTAACAGCCTGAAGGGTGAGATCTTCGTACTTCGCGGCGGCGTGTTATTGATGTGTTGGCTCGCTCAAGGTGTTTGTACCACTGACTGGGAACGTCGACGCACATTTTCGCAAGCATCGGGATGATTATCTTGTGTATGCGTTCCACCTGCCCATTTCCTCTGGGGACACCCGTGGTTACCAGGAGATGCTGTATTCCTTCGTGCTCGCAGTATTCTCTGAAGGAAGTAAAAGACGCGCCGCGATCCGATTTGATGCGTTTCGGATTCCCAAACGTCGCCGCCTGCCACTTCAACTGGTTTATGACGACATCTGCTGCCGTGGTTTTCGATGCGTAGAGCCACACAAACTTTGAGAAGGCGTCCACTACAACGAAGATGTAACTATATCGCTTCGACGTCGTTTCCACTGGTCCCAGATGGTCGATGTGGTAGGTCCCTAGTGGCCTATCTTCCTTACTTATTGGCGTCAGATAACCCTCCATCTTCCCTGACTTACTCTCCGCAACGATGCACTCGACGCAACTCTTCACTATTTTCACCGCTTTTGTAGACAACTGTGGGATGTAGAAAGTCTTCTCGACTGCTTCTTGCGTTCGGTGAGAAATGACCCTGGTTATGAGCGACTTTGATAATTTCTTCCTCCATAGACTCGGGCACGACAATCAGTTCCTTAATGGGGTCTTTATGCAATACCTGATGCTTTATAAAAAAGTCCTCATATTCATCCTTCTCAAGTACCTTCATAACCGCCTTGATCCAGGGGTCCATCATCTGCGCTTGTTGCAGTCGGTGCTGCAATGAATCTTCCAACAGCAAGCAAGAAACTCGGCTTAAGGCGTCGACGTGTGTCATCTTGCTCCCGCTTCGGCGTTCGATTTCGTAGTTGAAATCTTGAAAGAATAACGCCCAACGGGTGACTCTTAATGGAGTGTCCCTTTTCCGCATCCTCATCTCGAACGCGTTACAATCCGTAACGATTTTAAATTTCAGCCCCAGCAGATAGACACGCCACTTCTTGAGTGCCCCGACAATGGCCAGCACTTCCAGCTCGTAGGAATGACATTTTTCTTCAGTTTCTGTTGTTTTCCGGCTCATGTATTGTATGGTGTGGAACAGCTGATCGTCAGCATCCTTTTGGAGAAGGACTGCCCCATAACCATACATCGACGCATCCGTGTGCACCTCCGTCATCGCCTTGGGATTGTATAACCGCAACACTGGAGCCTTCAATTGTTTGAATGCCAGTAGCTGCTCTTCTTTTATCGTAAACTTCGCATCGCGTCGCAGAAGGTCCGAAAGTGGTTTAGCGACCACTGCATACCCCTCTATGAATCGCCTGAAATAGGATGTCAGGCCCAAAAACCGTTGCACAGCCTTACGATCCTGTGGTATTGGAAAGTTTTCGACCGCCCTCGTCTTAGCCTCAGATGGCCTGATAGTACCCTCTTGTATAACGTAGCCCAAAAACGGCTCCCACCTTTTGGACTTCCTCGTTGATCTCCTTGGCGGGAATGATGAGGTCGTCCATGTAAGCGTCGACGGTACCGTTTTGTATCATGTCACGGAAAACTGCAAAAATGAACCTGGAGAACACGGCCGGCGAGTTCGAAATTCCAAACGGGACGTAAAGGAATTCGTATTGTTCATTGTGAGTCACGAATGAAGTGTACTTTCTCGAACTAGCCTCAACCGGTACATGGAAGAATCCATTGGTGAGATTGAGTGTAGCAAAAACGTTTGCCGCGTGCAACCTTTCAACCACATCGTCGATTAGTGGCATCGTAAAATTGTCCCTTACTATCTTCTCGTTGAGCCGTCTGTAATCGCAGCAAAGGCGCTTGCTGCCATCTTTCTTAGCGACCAATAGGACAGGCGATGCGTACTCCGACGTGCTGCGTTAAATCCATGTTGCTCTCTCATCCATGTTGCTACCTGCTCCTCCACGCTGCACTTGTCTGCGTGTGACATACGTCGTGGCCCCGCGTATACTGGTGTTTCGTCGGCCAACAAAATTTTCATCTCCACTGGCGTTTCGCGTTTCTTCCTCGGCGCATAGCTGCTGACCCACTCCCTTACAAGATTTGCCTTCTCCTTGCTGAGATGTGACAAGTCGAGCTCGGGCTCGCTCCTCCATCATTGTTACATATAGGCCATCAAACTCGCTCCATAGATCAGGTTCTGTTTCGATAATTGCTACCGCGGTGTTGCTGATTTCTTCTGATGTCTTAATTTTCGGCTTAAATTCCACTAGAACCCCGTGAACGACTAAGGTTACCTGTTTCAGGATGTCGTTACCGATTACTGCTGCATACTTCATATCGCGTTTCCTGGTCACATGAAACGTGATTTCCAGCTCCATCTCGTCGATGCTAAACGCTCTAGTGAAACTACCTAATGTAGTTAGCCCGCCTTTCCCTACTCCTACCAGACGACGTCGATCGCCGACCAATTCAATATCACTATCCAGCATAAGCAAAGTGTCATACCGCAGTAAGCACAGGTCACACCCTGTATCGACTAGAGCGGAGAATGTTATATGGTTCCGCTTAACGTCTACGAAGATGCATCTGCCCGCTGTTCCTATCCTGCCGCGTATATCGTCTCCTAGAGTGTTGTCGTTATGGCTCTCCATTTTGATAGCAGCTGGAGCGCTCCTACAGTCAGCAGCTCGGTGTCCTGGTTGGCCGCACCTGAAACATTTAAACGATCTGCGACAGTCCTTGGCCCGATGAGAAGTGCTCCCACACTTAAAGCACCTTCTTGCCTCCTTTACGCGTGCATTCGGGTTAACAGGAATTCTGCTTCTGGCGGTCAGCTATTTGGATTCGGGGTAGTCGCTTGCTGGCGGCTACACCGCACCTTTTCATATGTGCTTATTTGCTCCTTGAGTTCCGCTACGGTTTTGGCTTGATACAAGTTAATCTTATTTTGTTTCGAGTCGGGGATGCCATCGATAAAGTACTCAATGAGACTCATGTCGTCCAGCTTTACTGGCTTCCCGATCTCCATCAAGGAGTAGAGGTATTCTTTAAGGTCCTCGTTGTCGTGCTTACAGCGGTTCCGTAACCTGCGATGCACCTCTAACGACGATACCTTGACTCCAAATTCCGATATCAGTGCTTGCCTCAGCGAGTCCCAGTCAGGGACATGGCGCTGACTGCGTATACAAATTTTGGCAGCCCTTTTAGCAGCTGTTTAGAATATATGAATTTTTGGGGCCCGTTCCAATTAACTGCGATACCGTTTTGCTGGAAATCTTCCAGCCATTCCTCCACCTGCGGCTGACCCGACCCACTAAAGGACGTCAACTAGTCTTCTATATCGCGCAATGTGAAGCAGGTACGCTCATGAAAGCTATTTGGCATTTCCCTTGATGGGGACGAACCAGCGTTATCCTAAACGGAAGCTGCATCGACATCACCACTAGTGTCATCATCTTCGCTATCGGCATTATGTCCGAAGTGCTCAAGTAGTCGGTCCTGTAGCGTGACTTTCCGTCCTGAAGTGGCCAGTCCTAACTCTAACAATTTCCGTTTCCACTTACAAAATGCGTAAAATATCAAATCCTTAACCTGAACAGCATCGTAACAAACTTAATTACGACAATAGTTTATCGATTTTTCGTTAATCAATCTTCTTAACCTGAGCCACCGTACATACGAGTACTAATTAGTAAGATTAATCTTTCGTTATGTAGTTACAAAACTTTCTTTTTGATACTTTTCTTTCTTTTTTTTCACAAATGCATGGACAAATATTTATTTGCAACGGATTTTAAATCAACAAAGTAAAACATGTACAGTTTAAAATGCTTAAAACATTCTGCCCACCATCGAAACCTAACTTTTAAACATATATCGTTCAGATTATTTCTGCTCTAACTCCTACATGTGATGGCCAAGAGGAAACATACGTACATATATCGTTAGCAATAAATGGCAATGATAATTAATTCGATAAGCAAAAGGTTAATTTACATATACAAAACATTAGTAGTCAAATTATATTTTCACTTAGCTGCGCTCTGCTTTTGCCCTACTGTCGGCTTGTATGACTTGACAACTGCTACAACTCCTCTGCTCGTTCGGCTACAACATGACGACAACGACGTCGACCACAACACCCAATAGGCTCCACGCAACAACTCCGCAACAACTCCGATTGCACACCAGCAAGTTGGGATACAACAACGACTTTGCGCTCTACTGTCACGCACAAGTCCACTGCAACCTTGTAGGATTCACAGCTTCGCAACGCACTTCTACTACGCGTTGTCTCGTTTCCGTCGAACTCCTCTGCCTAGTCACACAGCTACCGCCACACTTCTGCTACTGCTCTCGCTGCTTTGTTTGCGCAGCTCTCTCAACGTACTTTTCAGCTTTGCGTTACTGCGCCAGCGCTGAATTTAGTTATTTTATCGTTTATTTAACCGTTACCGCTGCCTTGCCTTTGCCACGAAACCCGTTGCTTAAGTACAGACTTGGCAAAATTTAGTTATTTATGCAAAATCTCACTAATTCGCCAAATCGACTGTTTTGTGGAATTTAGTTATTTGGCTTCAAATGCACAACGCTTTGTGTGTATGACCAATGCTTCTACTGTGTAGCGTTTTTGTGAACGCCGCAAAAAATAAGCGACAACTGTTCTTGCGTAGCGGATGATTGTAACGGTTAAGTCCCGTTATTTGAAAAGGACTTTTCTTTCCAAGTTTTTTCTTCCAAATTTTCCACAGAAGCTACGCACTACGCACAATCTGTATACGCTTCTTTGCACCGTCAAAAGTTTATCTTACTTCGCACGTTTTATTTTTTGCGCACGCACTTGTTCACTACACTGTATTGTTTTTCTACCGGCCCTTGGTGGATAATATCCACTTCTGTCACCACTTCTTTAGGATGCCGAGTGTTTTATTTTCATTTACTTTATATTTTATTGAATTCTTTAAATGTAATACACACAGTACAATTTTGGTTTGGCAAACTTATGTTAATTGCGGTGGCAGGCAAACAATCGCGGCGACGGTCGACAATGAATTCAATTTTATGTTCTTTGGCTACAGTTAGGTCAGCCATCATTGGCGTGCGTTCGTTAAGTTTGGTCGGTAGGGTTGCCTTTATTTAAGGACTAACGTCAGTGTTACCGTCTCAACCCAACCGACCCAATCCCACATGTATACAGTTAACGGGGGTTCAGTGAAGTACGCGGATACGAAAATTTTTATCTACTGTGGTTTAGAAAACCGACTTGCATTTGTTAAGGGTTATTCATTTTGCGTTTTCGAAAATCTAAGTAAATTGATTTGACATAGCCACGATGAGAAATTAGGCATCTGGCAACAAAGCACCCGAGATTGATATACATATCTGCAACCCCGTAAATGGTCATCTCGTCTTAGTTGCTGTGTGAACTGCACTTTATACGGATGCGGAGGTGTAAGTCCGAATGCTAATATGTAGTAAAAGTCCTAATTCCTGCAAAGAAGTTCCCAGTTGCTGAAATTAGAGTCTTTGGCAGGATATACAAAACGGGAAAATTTTGCATTTCGACTTAACTGAAAAAATATATGTTTTTGTTATTTTATGGCCTTATAACAATTATTTATTTATTTATATTTTTATTTATTCTATATTTTATAAATAAATTTATAAAATATATTTTTGGGGCTGGGCTACTAGGTCATATTGTCTTTATAACAATTATATTCAACAATTTTTATTGAGGCCGTTTTTAATGAAAAACTATTGTGGAAAAGCAACAACAATTTGAAAAAATTGTAGAAATAGCTATCACTTCTACCATTTTTTCAAACTGTTGTTGCTTTTCCACAATAGTTTTTCTTTAAAAACGGCAAACTCAATGAAAATTGTTGAATATAAAAAAAAATATATAATATTCGGCGCTTACACATTTGCTAGTCTCCTCCCATTTTGTCACACAAGGGACCTATGCAGCAAACGGCAAATGGTTTTATTGAGAGGCTTTTGTCATTGCAGAAATAAATTCATAGGCCAGCCGAGGGGGGCCGCTATTAGGAAAAAACATTTTTGGTTTTTTGGATTTTGCTCGGATCAGGGATAGAAACCCTGGACCACTCAATCACAGAAAAAACGTCCGAGTAAAAACTAACTGTATCGTTAAAGTATTGCACCATGTTTTCGTTGTAAGAGTATACAAAATTTTCTAAAGAGTTTTTGTGGAAAATCATGGGATTACGTAGACCCGACCTTCGTTGGGAAAAGAAGTTATGCATTCTCTTAGTAAGTACTGATTTTTAAATCAAGGAAGAGTTTTAGTTGTTAACCTGAATGTTTTTTTTTCGTGATGCGAAGGAATTCTTGCTATGATCGCTTTAAGGGCAGATACTAAGCGAAAGGTCGAAACTTTATGTCAGAGAAGGCATGTTTTTACAAAAGGGTTTAGATTAGCCAAACGTCAGTTCTGAGGTTAGGCAAACTAGAAAAGTTTGAGAAGTTTGCAATGAAAGGCTCGTGAATTGTCGGCGGGAAAGAAAAACTTAATGCTTTCGAAAAAAAACACTCATTGGAAAGCAATAAGAGAAGGAAGCCAGATCTACATGTGGCCTAGCACTGTCACCCCAGCAGGTTCTCCGTAACAACAATGGACGAATCCTGGTTTGAAATTTTAGACAGAAACGCATTCTTACGACGATGAAATGATTGGAAAGTTAGCCACTGGAAGGGGGGGGATTTCCAAATGATAAATTTAATTATTCGCACATAATTAAGTCCCAAAAGAGTTCAATTCAACTTTTTCAATCGTATGAGTGGTAAATCTGGGTCGTTACCGTTGCGTAGACTCGACTGTCGCGATATTCACCAATTCGAATTTTCCGCCAGATTTGCATTTACAGAAACAAATTGTTTTGAGAGGTCTCTTACATTTTGATTTTGGTTTTCAGGTAAATTCTACGCAGCCTCAACATCATACACAACAACAACAACAGCAGCAGTCGCAACAGCAGACGCAAGCGTCACATCCACAAACTATTACTGTTGTCAGTAATTCAGCGAATCCAGCATTATTAACCGTGGCCGGCAATGATAATAATCTCGCTCGTCCCCAATATGGGTGTCGGTACGTATTTTTTCTTATCGTTGTTATTTAAACTTAATTTGAATTATGCAACTTATTTATATTTTCTGTTCTTCACAGTGAATGTGGAAGTGCCTTTAATAGTAGAGAAGCTTTAGCGCTTCACTTGCGATTGCACACCGGTGATAAGAGCCTTATGACTGATTTGTGCGCATTAACTGCGGCCTTGCCTGGTCACTTCCTCAACACAGGCCTTAACCCAGGTACTGCCGGAGTTGTGGCCACCAACCCCAACATTGTGGCACAAAATGCTGTGCCTGTGCAGATTATTTCATCAACAGGTCAAGTCATGACCCAAACTACACTCGTGCAGGCAGCCGCAGCAACACATCCACAGGGAGTTGTTACCAGTGTACCTGGAGTGATGCACCACCAACAGCCACAACAGCAGCTGACAAACACAGCGCCACAACAGCATCATCCACAACAGCAGCAGGTAACGCCGCCAAAGCCAAAGTCGCACTTTTGCGCTAGTTGCGGTAAAGGCTTTGCAGCCAAGCATGGCCTTATGCAACACAATCGGCGACATCCCAATGGTGGTTGTACTGTTCGCACACATGTATGTGAATGTGGCAAAGCATTCTTCCAGAAGAATCATCTGATGCTACATCAGCGACAGCATTTGGAGACGAAACCGCCATCTGCTGCCACGCAACAACAGCAGCAGCAACAACAACAACAACAGCAGCAGCAGCAACAACAACAACAACAACAACAACAACAACAGGTGCGTTGATTGCATTGCTAAAAATAAACAAAAATGCTACGCAGCGCTGCGTATCATGCAAAAATCCGCAAAACAGCAAAATAGCAAAGCAGCAAAATACGCAAGCCGGCTTTGCAACGCTTCCATTATAGTTTTTTACACGAGTTCGGTAACGTTACGCTGAGATACATAACCAACGCATAACAACAAGCCAGAATCCTCTTATCAAACAACCATGAAATAAAACAGCAAATGCAAATTACTAACATAATGGTAAGAATATTAAATATAAATATTTACGTAGATATACAAGAAATGTGCATATTATATACATACATACATACATATCGTCGTTTAAAGTACAAAAGCGCGTAACTGACATTTGCTGCCAACAATTGGATTTGCTCGCACAAGCTCTTGGCTCAATCCTTATCCATTCGTCATGAAATATTTTATTTTATTTAATTAGCATATTTCGCAAAATATAATGTCAGCACCGGACGTCTAGGTCATTGAGTGCCATTGTTGATGTCGCTTTTAGTTAGGTTTGATTATTGAGGTGATGCATTTCTAATGCTTTTTCTATTTCTTCAATGTTGCTATTGTTACAATCCAGGATGTCTTTCATGCTTTTCTTAATGTTATTGTTGTTGTTGTTGTAGCGGCTACAACAACCCCGCCCAGATCGGTTAATATCTCAGTCGTTGTCGTCAAGTTCCACTAACGGCAGCCCTAAGAAGCATACAGCCTCTGTGGGGTCCGTCCACAGGAACAAAGGCGTTAGGGTTGTTGGGTTTTCCGGGCATACGAAGAGATGCTCTCCGCATGCCGGCCACTCATTCGGCACATCCGCGTTTAGTCTGCTCAGGTATGAGTTTAACCTGCTGCAGTAGCCAGAGCGTAGTTGGG